GGTAATATTTGATTAGCCGACACGTCAGATGAACCGGTATGAAAAGTGCAAGTAATCTTTGTGCAAAATGAGTATTGATGCGTGTCCCGAAATAAAACTTATCCTTACAGTGAGGAGAATGGAAAGGCCACTATATATTGGAAAGAGATGGTAGCAGTTTAAACAAATAGTATAGAAGATTTGAGAGAACGTTTGCGAATATAACTGACCGTATCTATCTGGGATGTGTTAAGCAGTAGATTTAAATTGATTTCGAACTTGGTCTAAACGATGCTAATGTATAAATATTATCATCACTTGGCTATAGTAAAAGGCTTTAGGAAAAATAAAAGCTAGCAGCTTCGAGAGTAACTTACCCATATTAGCCATCTTGCCTGCAATTAGGAGTGCAAGAGATCTCAGAGCAGAAATAACCAATTAAAAAATCCAATTATTGTGAAATACAAAGGAAATGAGAGCTAACCTGTGACTAGATGCCTACAGCCAGACGAATGACATGAGGCCAGAGAAGAGAAACAGCAATGTGAAGCTGAGTCGAGATAAGTGGGACCAGGTTCGGGAGTAGCAGGCTGTCCAATTTCAGCATGATTGGCATCAATAAAAAAAGGCAGACATCTGGGCCTGAAGCCAAGATCACTGAAGTTTTCACGTAAGGACGAGAGGCTGGAAGAAGTAACAAGAAGAGTCACGAGAAGTGACCGGTTGAGGACAAGAAGCTGGAGTGTATTACCAGAGGGGCCATCAAAAACATCGGAAGACAGGCCATCCTCTGGATACGGCCCGCCGGCGACTGGGCGGCTACCGAAGAGAGTATCATGCTGCTCTTGTACTGACGTGTGCAGCTGACAGGCGTTATTCATCTTGAGATATAAATAAGGAATATGATAAAAGATAGGCACAATCATGAGAAATTAAAAAAAGAGGTACATCCATTCGTCGTTGCTTTATTAACGCTGATTGACGCCACGAGTGGGGTAAAAATTCCAAGTTTAAAGAAAGAAAAATAGATTAGCGTAGATTAAAGATATGAAGACCAAGATGTTGTGGTCTCTGGTATGGTCTCAGTCTCCTTTTCATTTATAGAAGTGGGTTGACCTCATTGTCGCAACTTGGTCTTGTTGTAAAGGCGACTTAGTAGAACGCACCTAGTCCGAAGCCGTCTGCCATAGTAGTTGCTATGATTACCAGCACCAGACAGTGGAGTAGGCACCTTCGCAAACGTTTAGCCGGCATCGTAGTCGGCATCAACAGTGAGTTTTGCTATTCTCCGCAACGCGTCAGAGACAAGTGAATTCAATCCCTCGACAAATGTTCTGCAGAAAACGGTTACACTATCACTCCTCTTTCTGTCCTAGGCTATCTATCTACTCTTTACCCTCTTATCCCACCGCCGCCCTATCACAACTTCTCACTTGTTTACATTCCAATCATCAAAATGTGTGCCCTTTGTGGTAAATCTAGGGTGGCATCATCACACTTGATAGTCAACCAGAACCCCTCTCTTTCGATCGACTGATCCGACTCGGGCCTCCAATCCGGATCCCTTTCATTGTTTCGTAGATCCGTTCCTTATCTTTCTGGTTGACCGATTTCACTCGATTCCAGTCCCTGTGTACATTTCACTCCAGACGCTATTTCTCAAGGCCCTAGAAGCAGGTACACTGCCGCTTCAGTGACCAGAGCGCCTAAGCTCTGATTGCCATGTTTGCAGATATCAGGCCTTCCCTTAGCGGATGCTGTTCTTAAATAAACACGAAGCCTATCTCTGGTCGCATGCGGCATCTCTAGTGGATTTCTAGTGCATATTGGGCATAACGGCGAAGTTTCATGACGGTTTGCTTATTCGTCTGCCTAGCTCCCTGACTGCCAGGCCACCAAAGTTGTACTGGTTTATTCGAAATGGGCATCACTCACTGACGTCTTCGCTTTATTGGCGAAAACCCCTTCCCCCCAGTTCTTCCTCGCGATCCCTTTTCCTCCTGTTAGCGGTAGATCCTTGATCCATGCGTCTTCTTTTTGCTGGTTTTACTCTATTCTTGTTTTCCCCGAGTTTGCTCAGACAGTAGGCAAAGTTATCGCTAACTCTACCTTTCTCCGATTTCCTGTTCATTAGATTTTTCGCCCCAAGGATGTCAATGGCCTCCCTAACCTTCCACTTCCTTGTGTTGTCACCATATGGGGCGTTTCTTTCCGTTGCCTTTCAAATGATCTCGTATCCAGTCTGTGCGATGTGTTCCCCTAGTTCTGATCTATCAGTATCCATTTTCTGCAAGGCCTTTGATGTTACTTGATTCGTGGGCTAATTTTTCTATCTGGTTCGCCAATATATTTATGTTCGCAGGCTCCACATGAACAATCCAATTTGTTGGTAAACTTGTAGAAAGTGTTGATTTCTCTTTCATGGCTACATGAATATTCCATTAACTAAATTTTGGAGGTAGTTTTTGAGTTAGTTCGCAGGATGGTAGATATATCTACTTTTGTGAGTCCTTAATCGTACTTACCGTTCTTTCATCAGCTTTTCACGGCTCGTATGTTTCTTTGTATCACTCCAATTGGGTAGCCATTGCCGAGCAATATCAT